AACTGGAATTCCATCACATCCACTAGCTTTGTTCTTAGTGAAGCTTTCTAAGGCCCACTTGACTTCACATTCCAGAATGTCTGGCTCTAGGTGAGTGATCACACCATTGAGATTATCTGGGTCGTGAAGATCTTTTTTGTATAGTTCTTCTGTGTATTTTTGCCACCTCTTCTTAATATATTCTGCTTCTGTTAGGTCCATACGATTTCTGTCCTTTATTGAGCCCATTTTTGCATGAAATCTTCCCTTGGCATCTCTAATTTTCTTGATGAGATCTCCAGTCTTTCCCATTCTGTTGTTTTCCTCTATTTCTTTGCACTGATCGCTGAGGAAGGCTTTCTTATTTCTCCTGACTATTCTTTGGAACTCTGCATTCAAATGGGAATATCTTTCCTTTTCTCCTTTGCTTTTTGCTTCTCTTCGTTTCACAGCTATTTGTAAGGTCTCCTCAGACAACCATTTTGCCTCTTTGCATTTCTTTTCCATGGGGATGGTCTTGATTCCTGTCTCCTGTACAATGTCACCAAACCTCGTCCATAGTTCATCAGGCTCTCTGTCTATCAGATCTAATCCCTTAAATCTATTTCTCACTTCCTCTGTATAGTCATAAGGGATTTGATTTAGGTCATACCTGAATGGTCTAGTGGTTATCCCTACTTTCTTCAGGTTACGTCTGAATTTGGCATTAAGGAGTTCATGATCTGAGCCACAGTCAGCTCCCGGTCTTGTTTATGCTGACTGTATAGAGCTTCTCCATCTTTGGCTGCAAAGAATATAATCAGTCTGACTTCAGTGTTGACCATCTTCTGATGTCCATGTGTAGAGTCTTCTCTTGTGTTGTTGGAAGAGGGTGTTTTCTATGACCAGTGTGTTCTCTTGGCAAAACTCTATTAGCCTTTGCCCTGCTTCATTCCATACTCCAAGGCCAAATTTGCCTGTTATTCCAGGTGTTTCTTGACTTCCTAGTTTTGCATTCCAGTCCCCTATAATGAAAAGGACATCTTTTTTGGGTGTTAGTTCTAAAAGGTCTTGTAGGTCTTCATAGAACCGTTCAACTTCAGCTTCTTCAGTGTTACTGGTTGCGGCATAGGCTTGGATTACCGTGATATTGAATGGTTTGCCTTGGAAATGAACAGAGATTATTCTGTCATTTTTGAGATTGCATCCAATTACTGCATTTCGGACTCTTTTGTTGACCATGATGGCTACTCTATTTCTTCTAAGGGATTCCTGCTCACAGTAGTAGATATAATGGTCATCTGAATTAAATTCACCCATTCCACTCCATTTTAGTTCGCTGATTCCTAGAATGTCAACATTCACTCTTGCCATCTCCTGTTTGACCACTTCCAATTTGCCTTGACTCATGGACCTAACACTCCAGGTTCCTATGCAATATTGCTCTTTTCAGCATCGGACCTTGCTTCTATCACTAGTCCCATCCACAACTGGGTATTGTTTTTGCTTTGGCTTCATCCCTTCATTCTTTCTGGAGTTATTTCTCCACTGATCTCCAGTAGCATATTGGGCATTGGATAGCATCACCAACTGAATGGACATGAGTTTGAGCCAGCTCTAGGAGCTGGTGATGGACAGGGAAGCCTGGCGTGCTGCAGTCCATGAGGTCGCAAGAGTAGGACATGACTTAGCGACTAAACCACCACTTTGTGTTGAAGGTTCCACAAAAGCACTAGAAGTGGCTCCATTCCTGCTGCCATGCTGACTGTCCCAAGGCAGACTGATGTGTCCTAGGACCGGAACACAAGGTGTCATCTGAGAGGCTTTGGTCGGCTAACCATTCCCTGCTATATATTGATTGTGACAACCTTCCACATGGTCATTTTCACGCTAGTCACCATCTTACAACCTTTGTTACCATCTGAGCCATGTTTTAAAGCATTCGACTGCCAGGCCAAACTCAGAGGATCTTTAACATCCTTGAAGAGAAAAGGTAAGCTTTGTATTGTACCAAAGGATTCAGGTTCTGATCTTAAAATATTAATCGCTCAGTGAATAATCGTCTCCTTGGACCTGTTCAGAAATGTATTCATGTTGATATTACTTTTCCTTACAATTTTTGGTGTTGCTAGGATCACAAGTTACATAGTCTATTGCTTAGAATCCCAGTCCTTAAAGGAGAAACTGTCTTCTTGTTACTGACTTGGAATCAGTGGCTTCCAAGCCTTTTTGCCCCAGCTACAGTTCCAGAGAAATGCCTCCTTTTAACTCTGCCCACTCTTCCCAGGAAGACTTCCCTCAAGGCCCCAGATTTCCACTAACAGCTCCTCTGCTGACTCTGAACCCTCAATGGGCCACACTGTCCAAGTTATGACCCCGAGGGCTAGGTACTGGCTAGGGGAACATCCATGAATGAATTGCTACACTGGGTGCCCCTGCACAAGTCTCTTCCTTCTCTGGGCCCCTAATTCCTCCTCAATGTGATGGCATCGGTGCCAAGGGCCTCTCAGCTCTGATGGTCAAGGGCTTGCCTGGTTTCTGGTGGTTTGAGACAGGTCTGCCTGCAGTGGGACTGGCTTGGGGCTCCAGGTGGTCTCGTGTGCAGGAGATCATCACAGGTCAGCTGTGTGATGCCATCTGTGGTGGGACCTCATAGTGGGGCAACTGGGGGAGAGGGAAATACAAGGCAGAGGGCCAAGGCAGGTGCTGGGGAGGGGTTGCTCCCAGAGGAGAAGGCAAACTTAGAATTCCTTGACCTCATAAGGAAACGGCTTGGGTTCTGTATGGGGGGGGAGGGCGGTTGGCAAGGGGAGGCCGGCCTCCGGGACAGGGGCCAGCACTGCAAAAGAAGGCTTAGAGAGGTGCTGGGGAATCTGATCTGGCCCAAACTCCAAATTCCGCGGGATCGGCTCTGAGGAGCCCAATCCCAAATGTCATCTCCCTCCCTGCTTGGAGATAAGCAGCAAGACCCTTGCCCTGCCCAGGGCGCTGCCCCTCATCCGACCATGCATACGTGGGGCCCTCATATTTTGGGAGGTGGAGAAATCCTCATCTCTAAAACCTGGCCAACAGCAACCTAGCAGAGGGGCTTCGTACATGGTTAAACCAGGGCCCTATCTTCTCTCCACCACATGAACGAACCTTCGCTGAGACCAAGGCTGTGACCCTCACCAGCTGGGCCAGTCTGCCAGCCTTCATCCCAGTTCTGGGAGGGGCGCTTCAGTTTCCCCTCATTCTATTGGCTGGCTTTGTTAGAACGTGACTGTCATCTCCTTCCTAATTTTCGTGGGAGAGCTCTTTCCTGACCAAGGCTCTCACCAACTCCCTGTGACAGGTCCCGGCTGCCTTCCATGGTTTGCCTGCTTCAGTCCCCTGGCCCCTTGTCCAGGAGGCCCCCTCTGCACTCCCATGACCCTGAAGCCCACTGAGACCCAGGTGCTCAGAGCACATTATTGGAAGCCTCGGGCAGGTCCCTCTGGCAGTCTCCTGGGTCACGCTGGGCTCAGGGGCCAGCCCAGTCACGGAGGGGAAGCCCCTCGCGCCTCGAGTGGGCTGCCGGTGGGTGAGGCAGGCACCCGCCATCTCTGCATGCATCGCATCACTGGGCGCCCCGTGCCAGTGCCCATTGGCATGCCCGGGCCCCTTCCAAGGCTGCTGGCTTCTGGAGCACCGGTGGCCTCCTGGCCCAGTGCCCCATTTCCTCCGGGGTGCAGCAGGGAGGGAAGGAGGCGGTGGGGACCTGCGGGCTCAGGCCAGGGTCCCACAGAGCGGGAAGGCGTGCTGGGGCAGGGGGTCTGGGGGTCTGGGGGGTGGCTTAGGGTCGGGTGGCTACGGGCTTCCCTGGCGTGGCACGCGCGCGCCCAGCGCGGGCAGCGGCGCCTAGTCCAGACCCACGCTCTCCAAGGGCTCGCCCCTTCAGATCGGACCCTTTCTCTCGGCTGCCGGCGAGCCGGCCGGCCGGGGCGAGGCCAGGAACCCCCGAGCGCCGGAGCTCGGTGCAGACGGGTCAGTTGGGACCTAGTGGAGTCCACGTGACTCACGGAGGGCTAGCCCCGCCCAGCTCCCACATCCTGGCCAGTTTCTGCTGGTTGCACGGCCACAGGCCACGCCCCTCCACCCTTCTGACCCGAATAGCCGAGCGGGTGACGTCGCGGCTCGCGGGCCCCGCCCCGCTCCCAAGTCGGGGCGGGTCTAAGCTAGTTCCCGTTGCACCCAGGCCCCGCCCCTCGCTGGCGTCCGGGCCTAAATGCGCCAGCGTGTGACGTCTCTGGGCTCGCCAGCTCCGCCCACCCCCACGGCCCGGCCCATCTGCGCCGTTTGAGCTGCGGCCCCTCCCACCCGGGAGGGGTGACGTCTAGGCTCGCGAGCCCCGCCCCGCCCCGCCCATTCCCAAGGCCCCACCAATCTGTGCTGGCGCCTCTTCGCGAGGCCCGGCCCCTCTCCGCGCAGCGCGCACTGCCTGCCAAGACCGCGGCTGTGACACGGGCGTGACGCGCGCGTAGCCGCTCCCGAGGCGCTCCTGTTGCCCCCGCCGCGCTCCCAGGACATCGTCTCTCGGCCGGTGTCGCTAGGCCCAGGCCTCCGCCGTCCGCTGCCCGCCATGGACGACCACGCAGTCCTGTCGGACTCGGAGCTGGCCGCCGTGCTGCGCAGTACAACATCCCACACGGGCCCGTCGTTGGTACGCGGTGGACGGAGGGCGGGCCCCCTCCCCGCGCTTAGCCCCGCGGCCCGCTCCCTGACCGCCCTGTGCCCCGCGTCTGATCAGGTTCCACTCGCAAGCTCTACGAAAAGAAAATCTTCGAGTATGAGACCCAGAGGCAGAAGCTCTCGCCCCCGAGCTCGTCTGCATCCTCTTTCTCCTATCGGTTCTCGGGTGAGGCTTCCGTCCCAGGGCCCTGCCTGGCCGCCCTTGGGGACACGGTTTGGGTGACTCTGAGAAAGGGGTCGCGGGGGTGTGGCCAGGGCACTGGCCGGAAGGGGCGCGGGGGAAACGGGAGGGGACCCCTGTGGGCCATGGTCCTAGCCCCTCCCCCATTCAGACTTAGATTCGGCGTCCATGGACTCGGATATGTATGATCTGCCCAAGAAAGAGGACGCCTTACTTTACCAGAGCAAGGGTAAGGCAGGGGTGGGATGGGCACCCTGACACCTTCCTTCCATTGTCAGCCAGAACCTGAGACCTCAACCCCAAGCGTCCTGCAGTAGCCCTGGAGGGGAGAAACCGTGTCGCAGGCCCCCCCAGTGGGATTCAGATTAGGGCCATCGGGCCAGGTAGGGACACCGTTGCCTCTTCTGCTACCGCTGCCCCCCCTTCCCAAGGCTATAATGATGACTACTATGAGGAGAGTTACTTGACCACCGGGACTTATGGGGAACCTGAGTCTATGGGCACATCCAAGGGCTTCCGCCAGCCCTCAGCTTCACTCTCAGATGCTGACCCTTTTCACCGCCAGGTGAGCTGACTTGTCGGGCACCCTGTACTTGGGTACAACCTGAGGGGTTCCTCATGGGGTTTGGATGAGTCAAGGGGACCACTGGGCGCAAATGGTGCCTCAGAAACCTCCAGGGAGAGGCGGGTCCTGCAGACACCTGCCTGGTGAGGGCCTTTCTTTGGGGAGGGGAAGGGGCTGTCAGAACTGTTTTGACTAGTGTGCCCAGGACGTGCCCTGGCTCTGGTCTGGGATCTAGGTTTGAGCTCTTTTTGAGAATCCTGGGGCACAAAGTAGGATGCAGGCAGCCGGGACAAGTGGCACGGCCCTGCAGACATAAGGCTGGGGACCAAGAAGGGGGTCTGGAGGGTGGCAGGGCCCAGGCCTTTAAGCAGTGTTCAGAACAGGCTGGGAAGGGTAGTGTGGACTGAGGGTATGACCTGTCATACCTACATCGACCCCGCCAATAGGTATCCTCACTCTGATTCACTTCTGTAGGTCCGTGATGACAATCTTTTCTCTTTGGAAGAGGAAGGCAAGGATCGGTGAGTATTAAGGCAAGCCAGGAGCTGGGGCTGATTCAGGGCTCAGGCCCTCCTGGTCTACCTGCTGCCCTCTTTGCCTCAGGGAACACCTCCTGTATGGCCAGAACAGTGCCCACCAGAACATCGCACACTACCGCCCTATTTCCAACATCTCCAGAAGCTCCCTGGGCCTGTCCTATTATCCCACATCCTCCTCCACCTCGAGTGTGTCCTCGTCTTCATCTTCGGCCCCTTCATGGCTCACCTGCCGAGCCATCCGGCCTGAAAAGCAGGCCCCTGGGGCTGCCGGCCTGGGCCAGGATCGCCAGGTCCCGCTCTGGGGCCAGGTGCTGCTGTTCCTGGTCTTTGCTGCCTTCCTGCTCTTTGTTTACTACTCCATGCAGGCCGAGGATGGCAACCCCTTCTGGGCAGAGCCCTAAGGGTCTGGCCTCTTACCTTGGAGGCCAGCTCCTCTGGGAAGCCCTGGCTGACTGCCTTATCAGTGTTTGATGCGGGAGGGGGGTTGGGGCTTTTCTGTGTGTTCTAGCTTGGGGTTACCAGGACAGGGGCAATGTTTGCTGACCCCTTCCCTGTCCTGCCAGGGAGGCAGCAGGCCTGGGCCCTCTGCAGCATGGTGGGCCTGGGTGGGCTTGCCTCTGGATCCTCCTGGCCCTGCTTTCCTGTCACCCTTTGGGCCTAGGAAGGCAAGACCCTTCTCCTGGAGAGGAGAACACGGTTTTGGTCATCGCATGCCTCCTATTTGTCGTCACCTCATGGGGGGATTAACCAAAGGCCACCCTGAGTTTGTTTTCGTGGATACAATAAAAGACCATTTATTTTTAACATGTGGGTTCTTCTCTTTAACGTGGGGAGGGGTTGGGCTGCCCCCCCTACTAAAGGTTTCCAGGCCTTGGGTCTCCAGAATTGCCATCCGACTTTGTCAGTTCATCCTTTCGTCCTTTGAGCCTGAGATAGGGATCCTAGGCTACCCATAGACTCATTTGTGTTCTGCTTTTGGTGCCCGCTCCCTGACATGTTACCAGAAGCTCTTGTAAGTACTTATAAAAAATAATGTCACACAGAGAGCCCACTGGGAAACGCAGGTGAGGCTGCTTGCACCGTGTCAGTTCTGGGTGTTTCAACTGGGACCAGCAGACACTAACCGTGGTGTCCAAGAGCAGAGTGATGGGAAGGAAATGAGGCATTTGCTTGATGGGCTGTTTCTGCTGGAAAGCTGGTTGTCTAATGACAGGGAAAGGCTCTCAGCCCTCTGGAATGTTTCATCCCCTTTCAGTAAATCAGCTCCTCACCTGGGTATTACCACAAGGTTTTCTGCTCTGGGCACTTCACAGTTTTCACAGTTTACATGTGATTTTAACATCGAGTTGGAGAAAGAGATGGCAACCCACTCCAGTATTCTTGCCTGGAGAATCCCATGGACAGAGGCGCCTGGCGGGCTACAGTCCAAGGGGTCGCTAAGAGTCAGACACGACTGAGCGACTATCACTTCACATTAAGTGCTAAGGAAACCTGGGGTAAAATGCCACACTGTGCGTCTGGGCTCCGCACTGCCTGTAGAGGGCAGTAAAGCCCGGAGAGGCAGGCTCCCAAAAGGGAAGCAGAGGCACCCCCTGGGCCACCATTGGGCGGGACCCTGGCACCTCAGCTCTGACGGGCTCCTTCCTACAGGTGGCAGGACTTGGCAGGGCCTGCCCTCTCACCTGCACCTGCACCGTGGTCTCCTGAGCCTTTGGGGCTCTCCGCTGTCTATGGCTGCTGGGTAAGCTCTGCTCAGGGCCAGGACTGGAACCTTTTTACCAAAGCTCCCGGACACTTCTTCTTGCTGCATCCTAGTCTCTGCACTTGGGTGGGGTGAGGTGGGCTGGGGTGGGTGTTTTCTTAAAACCAACAGGCTTTTTTTGTGCATTTCAAATACACCAGAAAGAAGTGGCTTCTCATATTCTCACCCTTCCCAGAGCCCCAGCCTCCTTCGTTTGCTGCTAGGCACTCCCCCGATTCCCATGGCACCCAGTCCGCTGTGGCCGGGACACCCCTGGGCCCCCGGCATCTGTCCTGTGCCATCTTAGACCAAGAGCTGAGACACGGATGCTCCATGGTCGGCGGTGGGCATGGGCAGGAGGTGTGGCCTGCTCATCTGTGACCATAGGGGCAGGTGGTCAAATCGGTGAACTGGATGGGGGAGAACAAGGAGTCCCATCATCAGGGCATCAGAACTCTGCAGAGGCATGGCGCAACATCTCATTTCGGCACGTGATCTCAAGGGCTCCTCCTGGGGGTGGCTGTGCAGCGAGAGCCCCACGGGGTCCTGGTGGAGAGGAGGGATTGCAGGGAGGAAGGGGAGAGAGATGGCATGGCCTCTGGACGGAATGGTCCCCTCCGGGCTTCAGATCCTCCATCTGCAGGACCGAGGGGGAGGCTAGATGTGCTTGGCAACCACTGTTGTGTCTGAAGGAAGACGGAGTCGCCTCCCAGGTGACATAGTCTCCCCCTTTTATTTCCCATGGGTGACCATATCCATTGATCACCATGCACCAGACGGAGGGTTTCTGAGGGCCTTGCTTCAAAAGCGCTGCCCCAGGGCTCCGAGATACCCACCTCCCAGAGAGCTCTCTTGAGGATTCTGGACCCCCCTCCAGACTCCCACCAAGCTTAGCCTTGCTTCCAAGGCCCTGGAGCCCCATAAGGGCGCCTGAATGCCTCCGAATACTCTGGGCACCCCCAGGCAAAGCTTTTGAGGGCTCCCTGAGCCCCCAAGAGACCTCAGGCTTCCAAGTCCCTACCTAGGGCTTTCCAGGGCTCTGAGACCAACCCCCAGGCTCCTGCCTGGACCATTGGCTGCAGTGGTACTGGGAGCACAGCAGGGGGCATCAGCTTCCCAGCGTGCAGGGCATCTCCTGCCATCTCAGGTACCACCAGAGCAAAGTCGGGGGATGGTGGTGGTGGTTGGCAGACATGGAGGAGCTGGAAAACCCTGGATGAAGCAACTGAGCTAGTAGTTTGGGACCCTGCCAGACAGCCTGAGCAGCATCCCTGGTGGAGCACAGAGAGAAGTGCCCGGGAGGTATGGCAAGCGGGGGGAGCTCCTGATGCTACCCTTGACGTCAGCCATGCCCTCCCCCCGCCCCCAGGTCTAGGGGATGCAGCAGACAGCGTTCTGCAATCTTGGACCACCCCCACCTTGACCACTCTACTGGGCTAGTCCCAGCACTGAAGAAGCAGCTATCCAAGAGTGGGTACAAGCCTGTGGGTAACAAGCCCATGAGGATGAACCCCCCCAAGGGACTAAAGGAAAGGAGGGTGTCACTGTTACTGCCCATGGGGCTGGCCTTTGGCCTTAGGCTCAGCATAACCATGCCCTGGAGACTAGCTCCAGCTCCTCCCCAGGGCAGGCAGGAACTCAGTGAAAAAAATCGAGTCCCACCCAGAGAAGTCCCCTACCACTGGGGAGAGCCAGGTAGCGAGGTCCTCCCAGAAAGCCCCTTCTCACCTCTGCCAGCCCACCAGGCACCACTCCCCTACCTGAACTCACCCAGATTCTCCTGCCTGCTGCCTGACCAGTCTGCCAAGAGGAGACAGTCCTCACTGCTATCAGTCCTCCCTGCCATCCCGTTCCAAAGCCTGCCTGGTGGGGGCCCCCAGAGGGAGAATGGCCACAGAGGAATGCTTAACATAACCAGGAGTCCTGACCCCTCCCCGGATGCCACATCACACCTGGGCGGTCATGAGGCCCGTGGGGTGGCAAGGGGAGAAGCTGGAAACTGCAGAGGGAACGACCCTGAGGACAGCCCTGAGGACGGAGGCCACGGGCCAGGGCAGGCCAGAGCCTCGGCCAGGCAGGGGCAGGAGGGAGCAAGAAAGGGCGCCACCTCTGGAGGGCTTCTGGAAAGGGGGACATGCAGATGGCACCAGGAGCCCATCTGCTGGGGGCAAAGACCTGAGACCTGGCCCCAAGGAGCAGACCCACCAGAGCACACCCCAGCTGCCAGGACACAGTCAGGGGCAAGCTGGGCCTCCCCTGGGCTCTGCACAGGGGATCCAGCCTGGGCCACCCTCCCGGAGCCACCAGGGGAGGGGACCCAGCCCTAACAGGCCCCACGGCCGAGCCCTGCCCGCCACCAGGTGCCCGGAGCAGGGGAGGGGTCCAGCCACAGACGCCCGCCAGGGCCCTTCTTCCCTACTAAGCCTGGGAGGGGGTGTCTGGTCACCCTGTGGGGAACGGCCCCCACATCCTGCAGGTCCTGTCTGCTCTGAGCCGGGGGGATGGGGGAGCTGACCACTCCCACACCATGACCAGCCCCCGCCCCGCCCCAGGGCACCCCTGCACCGCACCCTCCCTGGTGCCTGCTCCCCCAGGAGGGTGGGCCAGACCTAGGTGAAGCGAGGTGCTCAGCGCCCCCAGGACTGGACGGCGAACCACCCACAGAGAGGGAGCCTCAGCGTTTCAATGATGGTGACGGTCTAGAGACCCTTGAAGGACCCGCACTGCCCTGGTCTGGGTGGCCACACCCCACTCCAGGGCTCAGCGCCAGGGCACTGACGGGGACCCCGCTGGAACCCTGACAGAGACAGTGGGCCAAGGGGGGAGCAGCTGCTAAGTCAGGGTCAGCGAACATGAGGAGTGATGGATGCTGGTAGCCAGGAACTCGAGTGTGTGTGTGTGTGTGTGTGTGTGTGTGTGTGTGTGTGTGTCTGTGTGTCTCATCCAGCTCCACGTCCCAGCTGTGGACAGGTCCCCAGAGGACAAGGCCCGCCACCTACAGCAGCCTCTTCCACAGGCCACGGCCACCCCCAGCAGGACTTATGCATCCAGCAGGGGCACGCTGTGCTGCTCAGAAGTCAGGCTGGCCTCAGCCAGCTCCAATGCTTGCCATGGATGTTGGCAAGGTCCCCGTGAGCCCAGGGAGGCCACAGCCTGGGGAGTGGGGCTGAATGAGGGCTGGGACTGGGGGATGGCTCTGGGACCCAGCACCGGTGGAGGATGGGCCGCTCCAGACGCCTGAGCTCTGGAGGGCAGGCACCATCATGCCCAGCGTGCGGAGGATGAGGACTGAGGGTGAGGCCCGAGGCAAGCGGACAGCAGGGTGGGGCTGGGGCCAGGCTGCTGCCCAGATTGTGCCCATCCGCCAGGCAGGCACCTGCAGGAGCTCCACCAGCCACAGTGCCCGGGCGACAGGAGAGGGAGGACAGTGCCCACGCAGCCCTGGGCCCGAGGGCAGGCTTCCTTAGGGTGAAGACGGCAGGGAAGCTGGCCCCTTGTTGGTCCTTGTGCCCGGGGCTCAGGGACTGCAAGGCTGCTCTACGTAGGAGAACAGTTAGCGGGCCCAGGAGTGTGGGACTGCAGGGGTTCGAGCATCTCCAGGGGACCACAGGACCCTGCGGCGGCCCCACATCCTGGCCGAGCGGTGTCCCCGTGAGCCAC